AGATATCAGGCAGGTTTGGTAAGAACAGAGCAAGAGACTTTGTGCTTCATGTTCAGTCATTGTTGTGGGGTTTCAACATCCTCTTCCTCCTTGTCCCCATGTTCAGTATGGTGCAGCAGCAGCTCCAGGTCAGGGTCAGAGTTGGCCTCTTTGTGTGGCTCCAGTGTTTTGTCACCTGTGTGCAGACACAGCCTGTTTAGTGACAAACTTGGAGCACACAACAAACCTGACGCTGGCAAAGGAGCTGGAACCAGACACAGCTCCAAGTGAAGCTATGAGAAAGCCCACAAAGAAACACAAAGTGATTTAAAACAATGACCTTTGGAATTCACGGCTTTGAGAACGACATGAAGGGAGATTCCCGACAGGCAGACAGCAAAGCCCAGCCAGTTCAAGAGACTGAGGCGGTCTCCCAGCAAATGTGTGGCGAGGAATAAAATGCAGATTTCCTGTGGAAACAAAAAAACATGACAAGTGGCAGGGCAGGACCTGAGGAGATATGCACGAGATGTTTTACAGCTGCAGCCCAGATCAAGATGCCAGGCTGCTAAATTTCCATCAGCACATTCTTTCATGCGCACGGAGTTCTAAAAACAGTCTTTGGGAACAAACAACCTGTCAAACTGGGATGTGGGATTTTAAGTCATCTGACTGCATAGCTTGGTTACAGAGGAATCTTCCAACTTCTGGACCAGACAGATTTCACATGTCAGAGTTCAGCTCAAAAGTATGTGTGCTGGACTCCTAGCAGGAGGGGAGGATGTGCCAAACTAGATTACAGAGATAGCTCAAACCAATGGTTTGTTCACATACAGGTCTGATGCAAGAGCTTGCCCTTCTCACCCCTCCTCCCTTCCGCACCATCCACTGCTCATGAGGCCCACGTGTTTTAGTCTATCCCACATCACAACAGACTTTGGTCACTAATGGTATTTTTTATAGAACAGCCACTATCTCTGGCCCTTTGCTGTCAGGGACTTCACTGCAGAGACTGAAAGGCAAAGCATCAAGCTCCTGTGCGAGGAGAACAAAAATAACAATCATTTCTAAGGATCTAAAGGAAGTTCCCATCACATAAGGCCCAATAGGGATGACTCAGTACTTGCCTTCTAGTGTTAGCACAGGAACCATGCCTTACCTTAAAAATGCCAGCAATGGAAAGGGTGAGGCTAGATGTTCTGGAAACCAAGAGGAACTCAGAAAAGCCTAGACCAAAGGCAAGAATTCCACCCAAGAACAGCTTCCCTACCAGAGAGAACAGCATTCCTGCTTCATGGAAACGGAAGAGCTTCTCTGATATGGACAAAGGCAGGCCTAGGAACAAGACAGTGAGTAGCAGAATACCTTCCCCAACTCCCAGAATTCCTTTCAACAAGATGGATGGGGGTGGGCTGCTCACATTCCAGTATCAGGAGGATGTGGAGCCAGTTCTTCACAGCCCTTATTTCCACAAGTGTGGCAGGCTACTATTCCTACGCACTCTTTAATGATTTGCCAGCATAAGGTAATTCCAGATCTCTAACTGCTTTGTAAAGTTCACAGCTGTTGACTTATCTAAATGAATCATCTCAAAACACCAAACTGCTAAGCAGTCTCCCCAACCACTCTATAAAGCTATCCCTGCTTTCTCTAATTAACTCACGCACCCTCAAACACCGCAAAGAGTGGGAAGAGCCCCAGGAACATGAGCGGCTGCAGGTGAAACATGATATCAATGGGATTCTGGAGCCCTGAAAGAGGAGAATCAATAACAGACCAGGTAGCAACAAGCCAGGGAATAAAATAGCTCCCAGAGCCTTTATCAGCACCATTCCTAGACACACACCTTGTTTGTGATGCCCACACCTGTGCTGCTGCAGATACCAAGCCACCTTCATCACCCATCAACAGATAACCCCTGCCCCAGGTTTCAAACACCTTCCCTTACAGGAGATGTTTTGTTTCTGCAGCGAGGGCTACCACCTCCTTATTCCCCTCCCCATTACCAGCACCACCCCCCCCTTTCCTAGCACCCTACGTACCCAGCTCAGCCTTCTGCATAAGTATCTGTGTGAGAGTCCAGCGGATGCCCCCAAGGAAAGAGGCACAGAGCACCAGGATGAACCCCTGTGCGTTGAACTGGGTGGACTTGTAGGTGAACATGAAGAGTCCCCCAGCAATGAGCAGAACCACCAGGAGCAACGTCACTCTCTGCGTGAGATCAAACACAACAGAGACACACAACCTCTTGCTTTTCAGATTCATCCACAGAGCTGCATTCTCCCTCTACTTACATGTTTCCTGTGCATGTACTGCCTATTTCCCCGGGCCCGACCTTCTCCCTCCCTAAAGCATTGTGTGGCACCCTTACCATTTCCTCCAGCTTGAAGAGCAGTGAAAAAAGCAGGATGAAGAGAATAGCAGAGGATTTGGTCATCGTGTAGCTGTAAGAACCAAAATACACTGTCAGTCCCCTCCAGTGTAGTCTTTCCCATCAAAATACTATTAGAAACCAATCACCCACTTCTACATTGCTACCAACAAGCCATCACAGACCCTGTGTGCTGACCCCACCGAGTCAAACACCTATTCAAGAAACAGAGCCTGACAAAGCACTTTTCAAACCCCACTCAGGCAAGGTGATGTTTGTACTCACAGGGAGACAGTGACATACAGGAAGCTCCAGTTACTCAGCCCAATATCCAAGGAAGTTGACAGAGCTAAAGAATCAATGAAAAAATCCTGATGTTAACTGTCATCCACTACCTAAAAAAACCCACCACAAAGCCCTGCTACTTGACCGAAAACACAGAGATCAGAGCAGAACCAGGGGGAAAAAAAAAGTTTTCTTCATGTTAACTCTTCAGTACCAAGGGGGAAAAAAAAAAATTTTCTTCATGTTAACTCTTCAGTACCAACATAGCTCAGATATTCTCAGGTCTTTATGTTTCTGTTTTGTTCCCTGTGATTTATGTTGGGCTCAGCACTGCACTCACTGAACAAGCACTGTTAAAAAGCCAGAAATAACTCTTGCCCTCCCTGTGACTGAAAGCCATCACAAATTTGCATAAAGTCTTTTTTGAATGTATCAGAACATGGTAACTGCTAAGTCTGAGGGCCACTGCAAGAAGCCTGAAGAAGCAACAATCCTTAGCACACACTCTTAACCCTGGGTGCAGCATTTGTTACAGTCTATAATCCCCTGTACATAAGTTTCCTACCACAAGAAACAGTTTTGCTGATCCAGGGGCAGGCTATGCTGAAAGGTAATATTGCTGCAGACGTGGAGAAAGCATTTTTCAAGAAACCAGGGGGCATTTTATGTAAGGCATTGCAAACCTTGCCAGAGATCTTAGACCAGATGCTGTTCTGTGGGAGCCAACATAACATACAGCCAAAGAACTGCAGAAGTAGTTACAGTTCTGTGCTCTGAGTAGGAGCTTCACTCCTTGGTCTCAGCTACAGTTCTGTGTGCCACATATGATGAACTTCTCTATCAGGCTCCAACCTGAGAAAGCTGCTGAAATAACATGAATGCATGGCTTGATACCAATGTTAAAGAGAAAATGTTACTTGCAGAAACAACTTACTGAGGTATTGTAGAAGATTCTCATTATTTGCTCTCATGTGCCAGTGGCTCCTTCACAAAGATATGTTCTGTGTGGCCTCTCCCTGCACTAACACTTCTTTGTAATGAGCAATGAAGGTAGCACACCTCAAGCTAAGGCTCCAGGTAGCACCTACACCTGCCCTGCACCTGGTAGGGAAATGCAGGTCTGGAGAGACAGCTGCACCCCCTGGCTCACCCTGTACCAGGGGACTGGCCCTGACCATCCCAGGACAACAAATGGCTCCAGAAGTGGTCAGAGTGCAGCGGGAAATCCTGAGCAGCCGCTTGGAATATGCTGAGTTGGAAGGGATCCATCAGGATCAGAGTCCAACTCCTGGCCCTGCACAGGACATCGCAAGAGTCACACCATGTGCCTGACACCATTGTCCAAATGCTTCTTGAACTCAGACAGGCTTGGGGCTGTGACCACTTCCCTTGTTAGCCTGTTGTAGTACCCAACCACCCTCTGGGTAAAAAGCCTTTTGCTGATATCCAACCTAAACCTCCCTTTACTCAGCTGCATGAGAGTGAAGAGATCGGTACTTGCCCCTCTGCTTCCCTTCATGAGAATGCTGAAGATCACAATGGGGTCTCTCCTCAATCTCCACTTCTCCAGGCTGAACAAGCCAAGTGCCCTCAGCTGCTCCTCATAAACCTTAATCCCAGACCTTTCACCATCCTCGTGGCCCTCCTCTTGGACGCTCTCCAACAGCTTAACGCCTTTTTTTTTTTTAATATTGCGGTGTGCCCAAAACTCATCGCCCCCGGCCCCCTTCCCCTCCCCTCCATCCGTACCTGCGGGGGCCGCCCGGCGCAGACAGTCGGCCCAGGACAGCGCTGCCCGCGGGCGGCCGGAGCGGCACCGCGCCAGGGCTCGGGCGAGCGCCGCCAGAGCGAAGATGAGCAGCAGGTGCAGCAGAGTGACGAGCAGCGGGAACGGGAAGCTCTGCGGGACCGAGAGCCGCTGTCACCGCCGCCCTCCCGCCGCCGCCGCCCCGCGCCGCCCGCCCCGCCACCCCCACGGCACCTTCATCAGCCACTTGTTGTAGAAGGTGATGCCGATGGAGAAGCCGTAGTAGAGCAGCACCAGCGGCGCCGCCAGCGCCGCCCGCCCCAGGGCCGCGCCGCCCGCCCCCGCCGCCATGCGCCCGGCACCGCGCCGGGAGGGACGGCAGGAGGAGGAAGGAGCGGGGATGGGGAGGATGGGGGATGCCGGTGAGGGGTCGGCGGGGCAGCGCAGGGCAGGGCAGGGCAGGGGGGCGGCGATGCCGAGCGGGCCGTGCCGGCGGGGGAAGCGGGGCCGCCGCTGACGTTGCCGGGCGGGGCGGGCGGACGAGCCGGGGCCCGAGCGGGGCGGGCGCGCCGCGGTGACGCTCCGCGCAGGGCGGAAAGAGGCGGAGGAGGCGGCGGCGGCTCGGAGCGCTACTGGTTATTATTGAACCGATACAAAAGGCGGGCGGCGCCGGGTCCCCCGCCCCGGGCGCCCCCGGGTCCCGGTTCCGAGCGCGGCCCGGGCGGTGCCGGCGCGGTGCCTCAGCCGTAGTGGTACACGAAGTCGTAGCTGCTCGGCTCCTTGGGGATCGGCGGCGGCGCTTCGGGGATCTGGATGTTCTCCAAGTCCAGGAGCCTCAGCTTCATTTCCATGCTCAGCAGCGTGTCCAGGTCGCTCTTGGTCAGCTCGCTGGACATGTCCTTCCCCAAGAGAGCGTTAAGCCCATCAATCCAGATACAGTACTGTGGAAAAGAAAGGGTAATTCACGACTCCATGAGGGCATAAATGAGAGGTTACGTTGAACCTTTCCATCCATGCAACAATTAGAGATGCTCCTATATAGCTTCAAAATAGGAAAAAAAACCCCATATCCAACCCCAAAACAGGGCCCACAGATTTCCAGTGGAAGTTACAAGCCTAGAGGTTAAGTGTGACCTCATGGCTGTAGGAGAGGGCCAAGAGTTTCTGTTGTGGCATAACACAAGGAAAAGCAAACCTATTCTAGGCATCATAGGAGGAAAGAAAGTAGCAGTGAAGACTAGGGGAAATTAATGTGGGATTATTTTTTTCTTTTTAAATGAAAAAAGTAACTGCAAAAAAAATGATTCACATTAAGCATCGCCAACATATTCTAAGAATGAACCTGGTGGGAGACAGCCTGTTCAAGTCTTTAATGAGAAGCAACTGATTCTTCTTAATCTCTGAAGCTAATTGCTATATATTCTACTGCTTGATCACTGTGTTTCTTACCTCGTATTTATTAGGTGCAATGAAGTTCAGGGTCTCATCGGGATCGTATAATATGGAGAAGGCCAATTCTAACACTTCCTGAATGGAAAAGAATCTTTCAGTCACCAACTGAACAAAACGTTACAGCACCTTCTGCCTGCCAACCTGAGAGGAGCTGCCTTGCTGCAGCTCAGTACACTTTCCCACACTGGTGAACAATTCTGAATAGACTATAGCACAACCACACAGTGCCCACAGCTCCCAGCAGTCACAAAGGAAAAGGCCCAGATAGGAGATAGGATTTGAAAACAACACATCTGCATTGTGGGAGACCATTTGCTCCTGTTCCTCTCTTTCAGACTTCAGTGCTACAGAAATAGATACTAATGACAGGCAGAAAGGGAGCACTTGCCTTGTTCTGTTTCAGTGCACTTTTCTCCTTCATGTGTGGACAATCCTTCCCTGTGACAATGGCTTTGATGTCTGCAACTGGAACTAACAGTGAAAAAGTAAAACTCCCAAACAAGCAATCCTAACCAGGAAGAGACAGAACTTTGTTTTGTCTTTGCAAACTGAGCATTGTTTGTTTTTTTGGCTCCTTCCCGCAGTTTTCCAAAACACATTACCAGTAAGATCCCAACAGCTGGCTGTTAAAAAAGAAACACCAAGCAATTCCAAGACTTGAAGAATTTGGGAAGGACTGAAAGTTGGTATCACCTCAGTCAGGGTTTCAGCCACAGCTCTTTCATCTTTATCTAGGATTATACTCAGCCTCTAGACAGCAGAGCACAGAACAGTGCACAGCCTGTAATCAGGACTTACTTTTTTCCTGTAGAGATTCAAAGGTCACTTCCCCCTGGGCATTATCTTCCAGATCTCCATAGTGTAGCACCTTGTGATTCAGAGCCAGGCGACAATACCAGAATCTTTCTGGAACACACACCAAGCAGAGTAAGCTGAGCAAAATCATTCACAGGAAGCCTTTCAGTCACTAACATTAGAGCCTCTCCACCCAATCCATCTGCTCCCCCAGCTCCTCAGCACAGCTTCTTGTTCATGAGGGATTCTTAGAAATGCACATCTGTGCCATCCCAAACTACTGGCTGATACGGATAGCCCAGATAATCAGCCTCTCTTTCAGCAACATGCCTGCTGGCAGATTAGTTCATTAGATCTTATTTGCTATAGTTCTTCACATGAGAAAAATGCAGTAGACACTGTCCCCTTACCTTGCCTTCTGCGATTTCCAATTTTTCTAAAGCTGCTTCCCTCACAAAGCCTGTTCAGGCGCTGTTGCTTTATCAGCTCCAGGATCTCAGGTTGGATTTTCTCCCTCAGCTCCCTGGCAATCAAAATACAGAAGAGTAAGCAGAAAGTGGAGATAAGAGCAAGCACAGAAGGCAGTGTTTTTGTCAGGCACGTACACAATAGGGGGTGACTGGAAGTCATCTTGGCTCATTCTCTCAGACTGGCGTAGCCGCAGGATCTCTGAATAGCTCAGGCTGCGCAGCTTGCTCTTGAACTGGTCCAAGGAGTTTGGTTTAGAAGGGAGAGCCCGTGTGATCTGTTCCCTCACAACCTGCATAACCTAAAGAGGTGGGGAAGAGAGAAGAGCAAGTCACATTCTTGCTGCTTACTGGCATCACAGAACCAGGGCACACAGAACTGATGTGGGATAAGTGGGGCCAGGAGTATCAACATACTAGTGACTTTGAAGATCAAGAAAAACTACAAATGACCTCAGGTCATACCAAAGATAAGTTGAGCCATCCCCCCTTACAGCCCACATCAATGCCCCGTTCACATCTTCTGTGCCCTACTCTTTAATGAATTGTACAAGCTGAGTGAACACGTGCTGATCTGCAAAAGATTTTACAAGAATATCTCTTCACCACCCTGACCTTATTAAAATCTTCTGCTGTCGCCCTCATTTCTTTCCAGGTCTTGTTCAACAGCTGGATGCAGATGGCAAACAGTTCCTCAAACGCACGGTCATGGGTGAAAAACATGGGGTGATAGTCATTCCGGCCTTCATTGGCTTCAGGGAGAAACAAACCACAACCACGTGAGCATATTGTACAAAACGTACCTAAAATCCACTACAGTGACAGACAGACACCTGACAGTGCACAATAGTACCTACTCCAAGAGATAGTACCTACTCCAAGAGATTAAGACAGTTTATTGGGAACAGCAACTATCTCCACACTTCACCATGCAAACCTCTATGACTCATGTGCCCTTTTCATCCTAGTCCCCAAAAATGACTGCTTGCAGTATTTCCCACTTTCCTCTGGCAGAATTTCTTACAGTGGTTAATTTTCTTAGAATACTGTGTTGAGATTGTCAGCACTAATAAACTTCTCTCAAGTTCATGATGGTTTCTAGATTATTTTTTTTATACAGCACCCTGCTGAAGCTTAGGAAGTTGAAACTTTCTGCTCGTGTCACTTTTTCAGGAGAACCAGAGAACACACACACCAAATTTCTTACTTTATTTTGACACTGGGACACCAACAAGCTGCCCCTGTCCCTACAGGACAGATGTGAGATCAAGGTTCAAATGCTTGTGAATACTGGGCAGCCTGTAAGCTACTTCCAGAAGCATCAGCCCAGCAATCTGTAAAGCTGGGAAATAAATGGTACTTACGGAGTTCCCCAACCTGCAAGATCTCACAAAGCATCCTGGTGAGTTCAATGGCACTGCGCCCAAAGGGACACTCGTGCTTATCTTCTCGACTGCTGTTCTCCAGAACAATCTACAAGAAGAAGGTGCCACACACACTAAGAAGACCTGCTGAGCTGTTGGCATCTGTAAAAAGCAGCAGCTTCACTCACCCTGATATAGGTGTCCTGATGAAATTTAGCCAAGTAGAGCATGTTGTCCAATGCCAACATCCCTGGAGGAGTCTGAGTAAAATCCATGGCTGGATTGATGTGATTCTGTAAAAAGAAGGTGTAGAAAGAATACAAACAAATTAGCTCAAAGAAATTGTGTGAGAAAATTTTCTGAATGAATTTTACAACTGCCTGTCCATCAAGCACTCTCTCACACCTATCCAAGAGGTAACCTTGGATGACAATGCCATCCAAACTTTCTAGAAGAAAGGCTGATTCCACATTCTTCATAGTGCACATAGTAAGTAAACATCTCCAGAGAATGTGCCTAATGAACCCTGGCATTTAACTAATTGGTAAGTTCATAAAACTTCCCTGGGACTTTGAGTGTAGCTGAATTTCTAAATTCAGATGCAGAAGTTTGGTAAAGCAAACAGCTATTTCTGTTCCTTATTTCCCCACAACTCCAATGGAGATTGTTTAGATTGCCTTCACATGGTTTAGAGTCAGCCCTCTCTCTAGATGCCTACAGTGAATCCCAGCATCTTGTAGTCCTTGGTGTACATGGCTTTGCGTTTCTCTGTTCCACTGCCAGGGACGTTGTTGCTGTCGGACTCTGCATCGAATGCAATTCTTCTCAACTCAAATATGATGTCTCTCTGTGCCTGAAAGACAGAAGGCAGGGAAATGCCAACGTGATCAATCACTGGGGCAGTATTTTCACATAATGCACAGAACTACCGCTCCTTTCAGAGGTCACACAATGAAATACAGAAAAATGCCAGAGGTCATTTACACTACACAAGAGGCAATCCATTTCAAAATTGGAAGTTTCAGTACACTGGAGTAAGGCAAAGTATTTGTTGGCAATTTCTAGGCTTTCAGATAATGCTAAGGCATTTCTCACTAAAGACTACAATGCATCTAAGAACTGAGTAACAGATACTTAAAAGTGCCCAGTTTCCTCGTATACTGCAAAGAAATGGATCAGATGCTGTGCCCTCCATAGAGGTGGAGTAACCAGTTTGACAGCTGGCATCACACTGGTCAAGAAAGGAGTATATGGCTTCCAGTGACCACTTACATCTCAAAATCCCACAGCAAGCAGCAGGATAGTCATGAGCATACCCTGATCTCAGGGACTACAATGTGAGGGGTGGTTTTGGAACCTTATGCACCATCTACTGCAAATTCTATAGAGCTAAGGAGCTCAGGTATAAGGCCCCTTGTACATCCTATTCTATCAGATCTTACTCAGCTCTAACAGTCACCTGATCATTGGGGTCCATCTTGGTCATCATTCTCTCTTCCAGGAGATTAAAGGTCAGGACCTGGAGCACGTACAGCTGATGGGCCATCTCTGTTTTAATGGGGCGGTTTCCTCTGATCACATGCTGCAAAATAAAGGATAGGGAAATGAAGGGAGTACAAATAAACACTTAGGTATTAGCTCTAGGCATATGCCAGGCTGCATGCACATCTCTCTGTGTGAAGATTCAGCTGTTTAACCTCCATATTCCACCAGAAGCATAATGATAATGCTCTGTAACAGCTGAAAGTAGCATCCTGATGACTCCCTTTTGAACAAGTGAGTGACCCCAGCTTCACCTCTGAAAGAGTCAGTTTTCAGGAAGTGCCCTGAGGGCAGCTGACTTTACACCATGCACAAGTGAAACCTCTACTGAGGGAACTTTAGGAAGCACTGGGTTATTCCAGACATACTTACATTCAGGATTATAGACCTCAGATGCTTCTGGGCAAATGCATTAGCCATTTCCTGTTGTGGAATTTAGAGAAGAAATAACATGAGTGAAATATAAAACAAAAGGCCCACATTGTGCAGAAAGGAGAGAATGAAATAAGCCTATGGACTGGAGATAGCACTGGCACACAACAAAGTGCTTCTACTACACACTGTCAATTTAGCATGGCATCTCACCACAAAGCAAGCATCAGGTTGGGATGCAAGGATCATCTTTACCATGGCACAACTCAGAGATGGCTCCCCTACAAAACATTAATGTGGAGAAAGGCACTGGTGTGGTCAAAGCACAGAAGCAAATTTAGCTTAACGTTGGACATCTAATGATACTTCAGGTATGGCAGCAGGGAGCATACTGTGGGTTGCCCAGGAAAAATCTGTCATCTACAAGAGGTTCCTCCAATTAGCATTTCACAGCTTTCTACACCAAGGTACACCCAGGAGAACAAGGGCTAGAGGATGCAGGTTTCACATCTCCTCCCGCTCTGACATTTACATTTCCTTTGTCTCAGTTCCCAAAGAGATGTTCAGAAGTCAGTTTAAGCACAATTTGCAGAAGCATTTATTTCAGTTTACAAAAAGGCAGGGTAGTAATTTTCATGCTTACAGGAAAGCTTCCACTTTCCCTCTTTACTGCATGGCTTCCCTCCCCAGGTGAGGAGGGTTTCCCAGCCATGGAGTAATGATGACAAACAGTCACAGCAGATGCAAGATGCCTCCAGTTCCAGCACCAATTACACATGCACCTGCAAAAACCTAACCTGTGCTTTCCTTGTAAATTGTGAAGATGCACTTTCTAACATAGCAGTGATTTCATTACACCTGCAAGGAGAGCGGCACAAGTGCTAATGTCAAAAGGGAACGTTATCAAGAGTTTGCTGCTACAAGCAAAATCTCTGGGTAAGAAAAATCTGTTGGGCATTATATCATCTGGAAGAGGTCCAAAAGATCTGACAGTCTGAGATCTCTTCACATTCCTCTGCAGTGCAGATTGAGAGTTGGGAGCAGATGTGGAGTCTCAGACAATTGCATTCAATCAGCTGCACATTCTGAGCAATCCAAGACTGTTCCAACTGCTCATATCAACCCTGCTCCTGACAGACTGTAAAAAGCCTGGTCAAATGTGTGCATTAACCTTTTTCCAAGTTCCTATTATCACTTTTGATCCAGATAGAAACCTCCTAAGCCAAGACAGTGATAACACTGACTGACAGCCAAGCTGTGATGGCTGCAAGTTCAGCAGCATTTGTGTGACAACCGAAGTGACTCAGTGCTTGAGTGGAAGATATCTATGAAGTATCTAGATGAAATAGATACTTTAGATAGATACTTTACAGCTTTTAGAGATAACACACTGCCCTCTGAGTCATTATTTTTTACTACAGTTTGTGAGATGCAGCACTGAGAACAGGACAAGGCCTGCTGCTGGGATTTGTTCATGCACGTGACACAAGGAATCCTTACTCTGAAGGATTTAGTTTGTACACGGGATGAAGTAACAAGTGACTGAAGCAGATAAAAAGGGGGAAAGACAAAGACAATTAAACAATTCTAAACAGCATAGAAAGAAGCATGAGCACACACACAGTCTAACCACTGCTAAGGGGTCTATGTTCTGCTGAGAGTCCAACAGGGCCCACTTTGCTGCTTGACACAGTCACAAAATCACAGAAGCATTTATGCTGGAAGAGATGTCTTTAGATCACCTAGTCCAACTCCCCTGATTCAAGCAACATCAGGTAGAGCAGGTTGCCCAGGACTGTGTCCAGTCAGGATTTTAATATTTCCACTGATGGAGACTCCATAATCTCTCTGGGTGACCTGTTCCAGTGTTGATCACTCTAACACTAATTTTGTGTGTTTGTGTGTATGTTCACATGGAATCTTCTTTTAAGCTGTGCCCACTGCCTCTGGTCCTGTCAGCAAGCACTACTGAGATGAGTTCCCACTTCTTTATTCCCTTCCATCAGATATTTATAGACAGAAGACCTCCCTGAGCCTTCTTTTCTTGAGGCTGAGCAATCCCAAATCTCTCAGGCTCTATTGATATGAAAGGTACTCCAGTTTCCTAATCAGCTTCATGGCCCTTTGTGGTCATGTGGATTGTGTTCAAGGGGAAAAACAAAAAAAAAGTGAAAGATCCCTTGGAATTTTGTCTGCTTGTATCTTGGCTGAATTACCAGTAGATAAGTATAATTTTTCTTATTTTCATGTATTAAGCATATATATTAATTTTAGAAATTATGTAACATTTATTGAGACAGCAGTTTCCCCTCTGAAGGCACTGCATCCGTGGCAAAAGTGGAACATCCTCTGTGCCACCCAGAAAATCTAAAAAATGTACCAGAATCTCAAGATAAGAAGGCTGCAAATCAACCTCTTAACAAGAGTGGTGATTTCCATGGAGATAGCACAAGGCAAAAAACATTCTTATACTACAATTCCCATAAGGGAGAAGTCACAGATCAGGCAGAATTTATGCTCTAGCCCCCAGTCAGCAACAGATTTTGTGACTGCTCTTCACAGACAAACAGCTCTATCTTTACAAGGACACAGCTGGATATAAAACTGTCATTGAGATCTGGGGTATAAAAAGTTAAAAGACACTCAGATTGCTAAAGAACTGGTCCCAGTTTTACAACTGGTTCACCTGATCAGTCACCAGTTTCCTTTTACAATCATCTGTGTGATCTTGTTTTCACAGTAAGTCATTCAAGGTTTCTCTTGCTGCTGATTCTTTTCCCCTCCACAGTCTGAGTATGTCCCCACCCTTCTCCCTAGGCTCATCCCCTCTCTGAAGCCTGTGTGCATCTTCCCTGGGATACAAGGAGGCACAGCTGGAGGAAAGCTAACATGCCTACAGCTCCACACGACCAGCCCCCAGGCTTGAGTTACTTACAGTGATGGGCAGGTCTAGAGGGTTAAGCAGCTTGTCCTGCTGGCAGAAAGCAAAAAAAGGCACAAAGAGAAGCAGACAGGATTTAGCTCAGAGTCCAGAAACAAGGCACAAACGGGGCACTAGAGAAGAAAGGCTCAACAAAGCAAAGCTACACAATACACACATATGCACATAGCTGAGACCTTGGGGGTTCCTCAGAGCAGGACAGGTGTTTAACTTCTCACATTTGCCAGCAGGAATATCCCCCTATGACTTCAAGAAGGTCCCCTTTTGGGGGGGAAGGGGGAGATGTGGTGTTTGTTTAGGAAGTACATACAAACCCAAGGACTCTACCCAGCCTACCTCTCCCATACACAGTTAACTTTCTTAAAGAATTTTCCCATGCTGTCTGGAGGATTACCTTCTGTTCTCTCAAGGTCTTTCAGAATCCTTTCTGAGCATCTCCTAAATAGAGATGTGTGCTCCAGGACACATTATTAATGGGATGGTACTTTTTCTCCAATGTTGCCATACTGAAACAGCCACATAAGCTCTTGGCAAGGTTTGAGGTCTATCTTGCCCAGACAATGTGATTTCTGAGGCATAAAGTAAACAGCCAGCAACCATTATTCAGGTTTAAAGTCAAAAGGCAAAAACAAACCTGTCTCTT